CCAAGGAAGGAAAAGAGGTGAACCGGTCATTGTAGAGTCATTGTAGGCCAAGGCTCATTGCATCACATTATGACCACCAGGGTGTCCAGATGGTCATAATGTTATGGCTGATCAGTGTATATGTATATGAAGTGTTGTCATGCTGCCTATATACATGATAAAGGTTGTTGTGTAAATATAATAAAATATTTCTTCAGCAGTAAGCAAGACAGTGTGCGGGAGTCACTCATTGTTTAAAAACTATGAAATGAATCCACCTTTCAGAAAATAGGTCTTGCCAGTCCGCTGAGAGTGAACAGCTGCACTGAGGCTCCCTGGCAGCTCCTTCCACAGTGCAGAGATCAGGATGGGAGTGTTGTAGCCGGAGCTGGACACCGTCCACACATACTCACCACTGAAACAGTATGTCTTACGCAAAGGACCTGCAGGGACACAATGCAGGAGAAAACATAGCTGCAGGTAGATACATCTCCCATTTGGGGGAATTACTGAAAAAAGATCTTTTTTATATATATACTGAGTGCAGTCTGACAGCATTAAGGTCTCTATACCCAACATTACTGCATCCAGAGTGGCCTTGCAAGGATCTGGAACAACTCCTGCTGGAACTATTGGACTTGGCTTTCTGGATGGAGGAGTCTTCTCTGGCTTTCCTGAAAAAGGGACAACACTGCACATTACATGAATTGAACTCTAGAGATCGCACACACCCTGACAGTGTGACGCTTTATGACATTACCATATAAAGCCTGGATCCCTTGTATGTCATCTGAATGCAGCTTGAAGTCTGAGCGGTATCCGTTGTACACAGGTCCCATCAGTGCGCTGTAGTGCTGCGAGTGGCCCAGGCCGAGAGCATGGCCGATCTCGTGGGCTGCAACAATCCTGAGGTTGGAGCCGTAGCTCTTCCCTTCTGTCCACACTTCATCGTTGTCAAAATGCACGATGCCTGACTCTGGGGCGTCGGCGTGGGCTAAAACATGACCTAAAGATAAAGCAAAATTCTACAAGTACTTAATCATCTCGTCTGCCTTTGTTTTTAGGTGTCAGCTTATATCAAAGATTTAACAACTGAGATCACAAAACCTTTTCACAGTTTCAGTTCAGTTTCATCAATTTAACACCAGTTTTTATTGCTCCTACCTCGCCCATCAAAGGGCACAGGACAAGTCTTGTCTTTTCTGTGAAAGGAGATTTTGATGTCCGCTCTTCCTTGCTGCAACTCCTTAAACCTTAAAGGCGACACGTCACTCCAGTACTTAAATGCACTCTGGATGGCCAGACGGGTCTTCCCCTGACCCAAGTCAGGAGTGTAATTATAGATGCGGTAAGTCAGCATTTTCTTGCGCCAGTAACCTGTTCAATTAGGGAAACTTTTTAGTGACTTTTTAGTAGATATTTTACACCAAACAACACTGCAGTAATAGAATCTGAATATGTGAGTGCAGTCACCCACCCAAGACTCGATATTTAAGAGATTTGGGATTGAAAGAGTCTTCTAGACCACATCGAGGTTTGTTCATCATCTCCAGAGTGGCTGAATCCAGTTTTCCTGAGATTTGCAAGTTTGTCGCTTCCTGAAAGATTCTGACATATGAAGAAGAGATAGAAGGTGAAGGTAAAAACAGACGATAACATGTTAAACTACATTTATAAACTGTTAAAATCAATTAAATATAATATGGTCACCTTAAGGCTTCCACTATCTCCTCAGGTGAATGGTTTTGGCCTTTACTGTCCAGTGGGATGTGCAGATAGCCATACTTCCTTAAATACACCTAAAGAAAGAGAACTGTGATAGTGGTGGAAGAACTATTCACGTCATTTACTCAAAGTACCAACACAAGTCCGGCATTTAAAATTGTACTTGTAAGCAAAAGTACTACTAAATATTTGCAATAAAAGTGTATGTAAAGGATAAAAGTAAAAGTACTCATTGTGCTGAATCATTCCTGTCAGTGTTATAATATTATTATATAACTGGATCATCATTATTGATACATTTACATGTATTTTACTTATTTTATGAACTGACTGTGTGTTTAATTAGTAACTAGTTACTATATCTGTAAAATAAATGCGAGTGTAGAAAGCCATTTTATTGATTGTTTTGATCGACTTGTGTCATCCTAATAAAATAAGCAACATCACAATGATTTATGATTTGGTTTACAATTGAAAACTTTTTTTTCTCTTGTTGTAATACTAATTGATTTGCTTCAGTGTTGAGTTGAAACTATTTAATTTGATTCTAATATTCTGAGGGTGAATCTAGAGGACAGGACACCCCAGTTTGGAGTCAAATGCTGTCAAATTTAAACCATTAATTTATGGAATGGAATGATCTGTTATGGCCACAGTTTACGATAAACAATAGGCTTAAGTTCAATGGAAAAAAAAGAGTATTGGAAAAATGTCTGAAGATTGATTTATTGATTTATAATACCACCCTTGGCTATTTCTATTCAATGCTTTACTAGCGTGCCACAATAATATTATGTTTTTTAGTTCAAATATTTTCATTTGGAGGGTTTTCCAAGCAAATTTTCAAATACCTGATTGTTTGCAGCATACATTTAAAGTGTCCATGCCATGAATATTCCATAGTCACAATCAATAGGCAGATTTAAACTGTAAAAAGTTGCAATTCAATATTACAATTGTACAATTGTTTGACTGCTTCCAAGAAATCAGTTTTTGTTTATATTTCAGCAACTCTACTTTTCTGAATTTTCTTACCACCGCTTCTGTAAAATCTTCTCTGCTTTGGGCAACGGATGAAGCTGTTGTCAGAAAAACAAGAAGCACCATGAACTCCAGTCTATTTTCAGTTTTTCTCTTTGTTTGTTTTTCCATTATTAGGGCAATAAAACGTCCTCAACGCGATCCAACCACCAACACCAAGTTCTCAACTAACAAACAAGATCCTAATCTACATCCATCCTCTGTGCGTTAGTCCTTCTGGGTTCCTCGTGCCACGGTGGAGCTGGTGTCTTAGTTTGGTGATTCAGTTTTTATACCATCAAGTGTCTGTTCAGGACCTGCCTCAAAGCCACATAATAAACCTTTACAAGGAATGTGATGTGTGGACGACAAAACACAAAACATATTTCAGACACCAACAGCATGATCACGCCTTCTTTCACCATCATTCAGAGCCACTTGTCTTGAAGCGTTTAAGAATAACTTCCGATTAACTTTGTTTACGTCAAAGGAAGCAAATAAATTCATTATTAAAGGTTAAAGAAAGGAAATTATGTTCCCACCAGCTCTTAAAGGTGATGACTTATAACCAGTTATGTCATTGCGGTGAAAAGAAAACCCACTTTCTTGATCTTTAATTGAGCTGGAACACTTTGAAGGTGAATTATTTTCCAGACAACATTAATTAAGGTGTGCCAGATGTACCAGAAATACCGCTGGTGTTGCTCATTTATGATTTATATTTGTGAAACATTAATCTTAAACATTCTTTCACGTCTCGGGTACAGCTCTATGAAGAAAACAACTAACCACACTTCCTCATGAGAGAACAGCTAATTATATTGTTCACAATGTAGGAGACCATTCAAGTAAAAACAATGGCAATGACGCCCCCATGTAACCATTGCTACAAATCGTCTCCTGAATAGAGACAGAGAACGCCTCCTTTGTTTCTGGCTGTGGCTCTTAAAAAGTGAGCAGACGGATGAGAAAGAGACTCAGCTCACACATGCTTCAAACAATTATCTAAATTTAACCACCAGGTTCAATTTTAATGCAGATCAGTAGAGGCTGTGTTTTATCTGTGAACTAAGTGGGTGCTTTCCTGCCCCGGGTTCTGCCTCTCAGGCATAGCACAACTCCTTCCTCTTTTGCCAATTAACGATTGATTATTATTGGCCGATTGAGCTGGAGCAGAACAAAACCTTAAGCTGCGTCCCAATTTCAAACTGCGCACTAATTAGGAACAGATTTTTTAAAAGTTTGTTGCATGTTCACACTGGGAAACTGACAAAGCAGTTTTTTGTTTTCATCTGTTTTAAATTCAATAATTTTGGCCTCTATATATCTTCTTTATGAGATCATTATAAATCTGCCCTTACTTAAATTTTAACTGGTTTTATATGTACTTATTTCTTTTATTTTGCACCTGCACCTACATTTGTGCTCATGTTTTTAATTGTTTTAAATTTTTTTATATGGGGGACTCACTCTTATTTTTGTTCTGTATGTCCTTTAATCTGGAAACAACTTTGTGCTTCAGCTTCAAAAGTGTTACACTTATACTAATAATACAATTATTATTAAAATTAAGTAAACTCAAACCGTCCGTACACTAAAATAAACTTAAATGCAATGCACAAAAGAAAAGGAAAGGGTTCAAATTTTAATTTAAATAAATTGTATGGTGGTGAGACAGATCCAGAAAAAGAAATATTTGTAAAACTGTTTAGCTTTCATTTGTTTAGTTAGTTTAATTAGCAGCAGCATCCTATGTCGCAGTTTAATGGATCTCCATGGTGCATGTATTGTATCCTTATTATTATATGACAGTTCAGTATGTTGATTTCCTGTATACGAACTGCTAGAATCTGGTGGTACAATACAGGAGTTACGAGTCAATACACTGTGTAGTTACTGTACTGAAAGCAGGGTGATATATTTTGCAATTTTTTTTAATCTAATTTTAGGGAAACTGTCATAGTCTAAAAAAAAACAAAACACCACCACCACATGCATAAAAACAGTTTTAAGTTTCTGGGAATTAACATCACAGAGAGTCTGTCATGGTCAGCTCTCCACCCTGGGTAAGAAAACAGAATTTGTTTTTAATTTTGTATTTTTTTAAGGAAACTTAAGAAAACTAAATTTCTGTGCCAAGTTCTTAACTTTTACCAGGAGTGAAATAAAGCATCCGGATTGGAAACATCGCAAACTAGCATGGGATGTGCACAGTCCAGGACAACATGACTCTGCAGCGTGTGATTAAAACCATCCAGAAAATCAGTAGCATAAAGGGAACTATACCTGAATGTCATCCTACAACCTGGAGTTGTAAAATAACCTTTAATTCTTTAATCTGGGTAAAAGAAGTTTACTTCTTTATGCAACCAGAACAGTGGTATGTGTATTTGTATTCATCACAATCCCTGTAACATCCAACGTCATAGCCCTTAGTTTACGTTTGCAACACTGCAGCTGTGGGTTTAAACACAAAAATCTATACAATATCACAGAACTAAATATCTATTATCAATACCTTTCTATATATTTCTTACATCCCTATTATAAGTGTATAACTTATATTAAAAATACCCAATGTCGTACATCCTTCCTTCCAAAATCATTCCCCAGTTTTTCAGGATACTCAACAGAGCACTTGTTCACTGTACTAATAAAAAGCAGTATGAAATAAACATTTTCTGCAGCATGTAGTTTTAATTAATGTAATGACTGTATAGACAGTGGCTCAACATTAGTGCGACTACAAGAAATCATCCAATCATTGACAAAAACATTGTGTTAATTCTTAAAGCAGACACGTCAACAAACTATATTCTCTTAAACAGAAAACACTTTTTCCATTTTATGTGTAATACCTGATGCCATGAAAGGTACAAAACGGAGAGGACAGACACGCACAAAACAATTCATCATGTCTTTAAAAGATATTTATAAATGAGTGGTCTGGCCAATGCAAGTCCATGAGCAGGAGTCCCAACATTATTTAGAGATCTGGATCTAGAAAACTCAGGCTCGTCAGTTCTGAAGATGCGGCGCCCTGCTTACGTCAGACGTCCTGTCGTTTCTCAGCTTGAAAGGCGCCGGGACCGTGTTCACCTCCAGAGTTCATAATGGATATCAAATAGGCAAAATATGTTTAATGGAAGCTATGATCACATGGCTGCAAAAGGTCCCTTCCCTGTCTTTCAGTATGTAGTTTGTATGTTTAGTCTGTCCAACCCTTCCGCTTCCCTTTAGTGCTTCAAGATTCACGCTCGAGTTGCCGTAACTCCTCTTCTATGGCGAGCGCCCGACCCAGCTTTTCCAACTGATCCTTTGTTGGCTCTTTTATTTCCCCCGAGTCCACTTTCTGCCGCAGATCCTCCACTTGTCGCAGCTTCTTTTTCAGGTTTTTGATCTTTTTGGCCTTTTCGGCTGCTGAGGAGTCATCGGCGGGCGAGACGGAGACCGGCGCCGCCGTCTTGTTCGACTCGAGAGCTTCTGAAATGGACACGTTCTCGACGGCGTCGCTCACCGAGTCCACGTCCGCGTCCCCGTCTCCGTCCTGGTGCTGCTGCTGTTTTCGCTTTTCTTTGCGTTTCATGTTGCGCTTGGCAGACTTCGAGAGGCCGGCGGCGTCGCTGTCCCCGCAACCGGGAATCTTCTGCTGCTGCTTTGGCTGAGCTCCCTCGGACGGATTCATGCCGGGCGGCAGGTCCGGTTTGCTCTTGAAAAACTTCACATACTTGTTTTCATATCTAAAAAAACAGCAAGAAAACAGACAAACAAGATGAGATTTACGTGAGAGAAATATGACTTTTCACTTGACTCAAAGCATATTTGTCATTTCTAATGAACATGAGGCCCGCTCTGATCGATTGGAGCGTCGCTGCTTGTTGCAACCCCCTACAGGTTTCACAGTTACATCATGATTTATACGTTCTGTGCACACCTGTAGGGAAACAAGAACTGCACTTACACTGGTACTTCTTCCTGGGGGACATAACCATCCTTCACCCTCCTCGGCTTCCTCCAGGTCCCATCGGGTCGCTGAGTGGCAGCAATGTACTTCCCTGAAGAGCAACAGAAACAAGATTTTTTGTTTTTTTAAAGAGTACTGATATATTGTGCTGTTTTTGACTGTTATGATAAAATAGCTCAGTGCTCACTCGATTCCTCCGCAGGTTTGTCAAACTGAGACATAATTGCAATGTTGGGTTGAAATGACAGACCCTGGTTCGGATCATCGTGACCCAGAGAGTCTCTGTACACTTTACAAGTCAGTAAGAAAACAACAGAAGAGAAAACACACAATATAAACATGTAAAAAGATAAAACACACACATACACACACACAGGTTAGTCATTTTTTTTAAAAATCATGTAACTGTAACAGGTTTGGGGGGTAACTCTGACACAGATGGTGAAATTACTGCTCTGCATGCTTATAAACTGTTCCTATAACTATTTAAATGTTAATCTTATATTGTTTTTTCGACAATGTAACATCTGTCCAATGACTAGAGATGGAAAACCTTAAAATAAACACATTTTTAAAATGGACAGCAGAAGTGGAAGCTGTGCAGTCAGCAACCAGCTGATTTTAATAACTGTACATCTCCCCTCATTAACATACTGCAGTGCATACACATCATCTGGAACATTTTTAAAACTCAAATTCCCACAAAACCGTGTTGTTAAAATAATAGCAGCAACAAAAGTAGCCGCTGCCTGGGAGATGATGTCTGTTTTTTTTAATATTACACTTGTAAAACGGGGAATTTCTGGTCAACCTGAAACTCACACGCTTCGATTTGACTCATGGGGGCGGATAATACCCCGTTATCCCCCGTTAGACTGTGTGGTGTCAGACGAAGAACACTGTCTGACACTTTAAAGATCGAGTCACAAAGTCATACTTGTGAGAAAATGTGAGAGCTGCGGCGATGAACGCGGAAAGACTGTATGGGAACGTTTCCTCCTGACATCAGGTTCTCCACTCACAACAACACTGCCGCTTTAATGAAATGTCACATAAATATCGACCACAGTGAAACCACACTAATACAGAATATTAATCATTTGTGTCAACAGGAATATTGGATATCTAAGCTTTCTGGACGACACATTTATTACTTTACCGACAATAATATGTGCACCTCCTGCAGCACTTCTGAACAAGCTCCACACAGACTTGTGCACATCGGATTGAAACTATACAAATCAGCCAGGTGTTGTTGTGTTTTGGCCTCGTTCAACAGCCGCTCTACGGTTTTAAAACCACCAGATGTCGCTGTACACGTCGAATTTCAAGCCCCAAAGCTTCAGGAGGCTTCATCTGCCTCACACTCTGAATCATTACAGTCATTAAAGCCCAGAAACTTCAGGCAACGCTGAATATTTGATCTGGGAAATACTGATTCAATATAAAAGGTTATTTTAAAGTCTGCGTCCATACTGTAGCAGCTGTCCCTTAAATATCTCTCAGTATACTAAACCAGTGAGACAAGAAGAAATAAATCTGCAGCACCAATTCTGCTTATTTTTCTTAAATCTGCTCTTTTTTTTTAGTGACATCCTCCATAGTTTTCCCCTCTTCAGTCCTCTTGACCATCCAAAATCAACAAACTGCGAGGAGAAAGTCTTTCTTGGTCACCCCTGACAACAACATGTGACTAACGTTTGCAAATAAATAAATACTGCTTCATTTTAACCCTTGAAAGGATTATTATAAACCTATAAGCAGGACTGCTTTGGGAGTCGAACGGCTTCTCCACAGATTTTACAGAAAATATACTAATTATACCATAATATAAAAGCATAAATACGGTTATACATGTTTGTATCCTTATCACCTGCTTCTACTTGTCTTTTCTTGGTCTTAACTCACAGTTTAACGTTACAATATTCACATCTGATCTTAATTTTCTAACTTGAGAACAAACAAACAGCCATACCTGCTTGGACAACTCGCATTACTAACAAACGTTAGGTGTTTTCTTATCTTTTTCTTTTCTGAGACAGCACATAATGCGAAAAAGTTACATAAAAACACAATCTTCAAACAAAAAACAACAACAACAACAACAACTCGTCCTGTAAATAAAACATCCTGATAGTTGTTTGTGACCTGATGGTGTTTAAATCACTTCTGAAACCCCATTTTTTTGTAGACTTGCATTTATGTGAAGTCACCTTTTTACTTTATTCCATCTATTTAATTTATTTAGATGTTATTAATTCATTTTATAGCTTCTATTCTGCTCTTATTGTATCTTGATGGTCATTATTTTACATTTAACTATATGTTGTGTATCACAGTTGTCATTCCGCTTTGTCTGTCGAAGCATGCTGCATAAATAAAGCTATACTTACTATTATTTCTACCATTTTTAGTAGTTTTAATAGAATAATAAACACAAACAAACAGCAGATAGCTGAGGCACGTTAGCTCGTGTAGCTACAGCTCGGTCGTAATACATAAAGAAAACACACAAAAAAGACAATGCAGCTAATTAAAAACACACTACATTACACGAACACCCACACAAACTAACCCCCCACATGCAGTAAACACTGTAAACACTGTAAACACTGTAAACAACACACACCACTCACACCATTAACTTATAAAGTGTGGCAGCGAAAAGCTAAGTTAGCCGTTAGCACTGGCTGCAAAACAAAAACACGTCATTAAATCAGAGTTGGTGATAATAATAAACACTGCGGATTGAAATAATAACGCGTGATAAAAGGGATAGAAGCGTGTCCCCGGTTGTGGCTGCCTGGGTTTAAACAAAAAGCCACTTACCGGACTCATCTTCCACATAAGGAGTTGCCATTTTGGTGTAACGTGTAGCCCCGCTCCCCCTCACTCGGACGGCGGTGTCCCCCTTCCCGCGAACAAACGTCCCCGCTGAGCGTCAGTTGGACCCGACGTCGGAGACAAAAAACTACAACTTTCTTTTCAACTCGTGTTTCCCTCCGAGGTGAGAGTCATGGCAGCACTTACGGGCTGTTATCGAGAGAGTGGCTGTCTGTCTGTCTGTAGCTGTCTGTCTGGCTGTCTGTCGCGCAGGAGGGGAGGAGAGCTGGAGCCTAAGCACCGAGCCGTGTTGTGTGTTAACCGGGCGGTACGAGGCGGTAAACCGGGCGAACCCCTCGTCTTCGTCTTCGGAAATGACGACGTGGATCATCAGGGTTGCCAGGTTTGTTTATTTGAACTTAAAGTGGACAAAGATGTTCAGCTTTTGTGTCATTACATTTTGATTATTGTGTAGCTGGCCCCTAATTTCAGCAAATTATTACATAATTTATAATATACATCTTTTTTTTAACTTGATTCTGATTGTTGATTGTTTATTTTTATGTCTTGTTAAATTGTTGATTGTCTATTTTATGTCTTGTTGATTGTTTATTTTATGTCTTGTTAAATTGTACTTAAGACTCTCTAAACTACTTGTGTTATATCTAATTAAACCCCCTTTAAGTTGATTTTATTTTTTAGAAGTTTTTTTGTTTTGGGTTATTGGGATTGTTTTTCCTTTAATCTCTCTTTTCTGTTATATTAGATAGCTTATTATATATGCTGCTTGGATGGATTTATTGTGATTTATGGTATGCTTAGGGGGAGGCGCAAGCTCATGTGGTAGGGACCCACAGACCACCAAAAAATATGGAGTTTGAACTGGTAGCTGGAGAGGTGCCAGTTTCACCTCCATGTGCACTGCCGAGGTGCCCTTGAGCAAGGCAACCTAACCCCAAAACCCTGCTCAATGGGGAGCTTGTAACGCGGCAGTCCCCATTACTCCACCATCTTCCATTGCATGTCCACATGTTGCATTGAAGTGTTGCATTTCAGCCTGTGTGTGTGTGTGTGTGTGTGTGTATACAAAAAAAGAGTAAAAAGAACAATTCCCCCTAGGAATATATATCTTCTATATCTTCTCTTCTTCTTCTTCTTTAACATCCATATCATTTAATTGATGCCTGTTTGTTACTTCAAGAAGTAATAAAGTCAAGTCAAGTAACTTTATTGTCAATGTGCTATACATGCACGGACATCAGCACAAATGAAATTTCTAGTTCCTCCGGACCCCCGGTGCAAACATGCAATTAAAAAAATGAAAAGATATAAAATAAA